TGAAAACAATGATTATCTCACCATCCGTTTTTCTATAAAGCATCTACCCTCAGGAATCTTTGGGCTTTTTTAAAAACCTCTTCCCATGCAGCAAGCAACGTGCTGCCGGTCAGCCTGAGAAGCCGCGTTACCAACCGGGGTCACTGCCCATCTGCACCGGCCACTCCAGGTTCCCCAGGGACTGGTTGATCACAGGCCGCCCCACTATGCTGCCCTCAGAAGTGCTCCAGCTACTGCCTTCTTTCTCCCAGATGTGTCCCTCAGTTCCCCAAATTAGACACTGGCTTTTCTAAACGAGGTGCCAAGGAAATACAAGTCTTCAGCAATTCTAAAAATGATGATTTAAAAAAAAAAAAAAAAGCCAGAGAGACGCTATCCACAAGCTATCCACTTTAGAGCAGGAGCTCAGGGCAGATAAGAAAGCTTCTTGGGCACTAAAAAATCTCAGAAGCAGAAAAGAGCCTGAATGTGGATATTTACATTTTATTCTATTCACAGCCCTCAGAAATCAAAACCAGAACATGCCTGGTCTTGGCCTTCATATCTCAAACAGTGTTGACACACAAGAGTCAAAAGAGCACCTTTGGTACCTCCTGCAGGCAGGGCAGGGTTTGGCGGGCAAGGCCTGGCCCAAAAGGCCTCATCCCTGAGGGGGCCTCATCCCTGAGGTGGCGCTGGCTACCAAGGTCCCGCAGGGAACAGACTGACTCAGCCCCAGCGGCTGGGTTTCTTCCAAGCTCCCAGCCTGGCTGCTGGGAGCCATCATCTAGTAGGACTTAGGGAATAAGGAGAAGCTCTCCACACACCTGATCCAGGCCAACGAATGTTCCATCACTGTCCCCTGTGCTGGTCTGAAGCTAAGAACAAAATCTGCTCTCCTACTACCCAGCCTGGGAGAAGAAGTCCTTGTGCTGAGTAACCTGGCCTTTAAGTCCAAACTATCGCACAGAGGACCTAGCAAGACTACCAAGGATGCCAGCCCAGGGGCACTTTCCCTGTGGCGGGGCACAGGAGAGCAAAAAGAACAAGAATGAAGTCACACCTCAACTGTCACAGGTTTAATTATCACTTGAAATGATTCTTTGTCTATGTACATATATATACACATGTTCACATATATAATATGTAAACAATAGCTTCTGTGTCATTTACACACCCCAAAGATGTGCAAGATGGGAGAGACTGGCAACCCAGACACAAATTGCCAAGAAAGAACGCTTCAAAAGCAGAGGTCTCCTAACACACACATATCCTCCTCTTACTTCTCCCGGCTCCGACAGGCGGGCAACGCGGCCCGTTCCCTCCTGGTCTCTAATCCTCAAGCAGGAGATCCAGCTCCTCCGGCGGCAGGCGCACCCGGAGCTCCTTCTCGGTCATCAGATCCAGGATCTCCTGCATCTCCTCGGGGAAGTACTCCACGGCGTCCATGTACAACACCTGGGCAGGGAGGAAGACCCGCCTCGTCAGCCAGCCGCTCCCTGTGAGCGCGGAAGAGCTCAGGAGAGAAGAGCAGGTTCCTGGCGAGCCTGCCCTCCTGGCACCTCCACAGCCCGCAATCCCCTCCACTCGGGCCTGCCCAGCCCGGGCAGCACCTGGGCACGTGGACGAAGGACACCCAACTCAAAAAGGCAGAGAGCGAATAAGCTCCAAGGCAGGCCTTCTTTCAGAGGTGGGGCAGTTGTTGGCAGACACTGCAGTCCCCATCAATTTGAATGTCCTGAATGTCTCCTGACCTGGGCTCTGCAAGCAGAGTTGGGACATGGATTCCCAACTCTTTCAGCATCTGGGCTGAACTCTGGGCAGATGCCGGGCAACCAGCTACCTGCAGCAACGCTGCCATGAAGCACCGGCTCCAGTGCAGGGAAAGGAAACCAACGTCCATGAGGTTCAACTCTGCAGGGGACAGGTGTTGGCATCCACAGAGCCGAACGTGCCCAATGACACAGGGGCAGGCCAGGTAGACACTGGCTGGATTGAGGTCTGGCAGGAAGGTCCTTGGGAATCTGAGAATACCACGGTCTTTAAACTTACCTTTGCCCAAGGACAACTTTGAAGTGCTTTGTAGAATACACCTTTGCTTCTTTCTTTATTTCCTAAGGAAACCTGAGATGAGGGGAAGAAAAACACAAAAGTGACGGACTGGACAGGCCAAGCC